AGGGTGGGGAAAGAAGGGCAGGAAGGAGAAGAACCCTTTGTCTGAAAAACCTTGGAAGACTGGTTCGGATACGACACAACGTTGAGGGCTGGGGGCATCCAAAGACAATTTTACCATGGTTACATCTGGATCCAGTAGTGGAAGAATGGACCGAAGAACTCTTTATTAAGAATCTTTGTTCTTTTTTTACTTGTTTGCTTTGCGTGGAAAAACAACGTCTTGCTTGTGCCATGTGATTGCACCCTGGTCTTTTGTTGTGGGCATTACTGTCTCGGTGGTTTAAGGACCTTGTTGGCTTGTCTGCATCCAAGGGGCTCAAGTTTTAAGGTTGCTTTCTGCACCCCCATCCAGTGTGCAGCAAAATATAAAGCCCCAGAAAGAAAAGAAAAAAAAAACTTTGGACAATGCCATTCCAGGAACACACCAAGAGGCTGTTAAAAAGCTGCTGACTCCCATTTCTTTGCTTTGTACTCACACGGGGGACTTGGGGCTTTTTTTATCTGCTTTTTCTCCAATATTTTTTTTATATCTAACAGTGAAATATTTATATGGTCCAATAAAAGCAGAAAGCTTGCAATCTCTCTCAAACTCATCGGAGACCGAAAGGAGCTTCGTCGTACGAATTTAACACGCAGCCGTGACCCCTGGTAATTGACTCCATACATCTTTAGCATCAAGAATTTACATAATATGCAGGAAAATGATTGATAGCTCCTGGAAACGGGGCTGTCTACCGAGAGGCCGCGTGTACTGCCATCCGTCTTGCGCGCGGCAGCCTGTCACCCTGCCCTGCATCGCAAGCGTGGCGGCGACGCCGCGTCTCTCCGTGTCACTCTCCCCACCACCGTCGCCACCGCCATGCCTGCCACCGAAGAAGGCCATTTTCCATTTTCCCAACCATCGGATGGTGCCTCCCTCGCGGCGCCCGGCTGCCCACGCGAAGCGCCGGCGAGGTGCGAGAGCCAACAGTGACAAATTTCAGTTGCAGATCCAGAAGGTTGGTTTGTAATTATCTGAAGAGCAGAATTCGAGAGTCGTTTCTCTTAACCTCTCTTGTCAGGCTCGACGACGGGGACCTGGCATGAGACAACATTTTGGATGCGGATCCTAGGACACAAGGCGCTGGGATATTCTTCTCCAGAAGACTCCTTTCTGCATTTCAGTGCTTTTTCCCCCCTTACATTTTTGGTGCAACAGAGGGCCGGTTCCTCCATACCGGTTTACAAAATTTCTGAAAATGTGCATAATTTTTAAAAAAGAACTTTTAAAATTCTAGCTCGGAGACTCTCTCTGAAAGAGACCAGCTGTAATCATCCTTTGAAAGATAGGCAGGGATCAGACCCCGTGAGCCTTTTTCGGGACATATCTGTAATCACAAGCTTGGAAATACGGTCTCTCTGCCCCCCCCCATGTCACCTCTAAAGATCTGAAATGAATGGGGACCATGCCACAGCGCTTTTAATTCTAAAAATAACCTTTGCGATTCTGTACTGTTGCAGTCTTTCTTTGCAATTCTAGAGGGAGTCTTAGTTGATGGTAAGTGGTGGCGTATAAGTCAAGTACTAAATAAATATTTATATTATAGTTATTTCTGAATGTACGTATATTTTGGTTTTTAGCAATGAGTCATTGGCTACTCATGAGTGATGCAACTGTTGTCTTTCTTTTTCAACCCCCCCTTAAAAAAAAAAAAAGGATAACATTCTGTATTTTTTTCCAGAAAGTTTCATACATGCAGATCTGTGTCCTCCAAAACCTAGCACCATATGAAACCATTCTTTGATGACATTTACATGCACTTGAATGCTTGATTTACAGGGCTGTACACAGAAGGTCAGCTTCTTTAATCCGGGAGCTTTCATGATCAACTCCCGCCCTAAATTCTATTGAAATTAAAAGCCATCCAGATCTTTTAAAAGCTTATTTATGAACACTTAAAAGCACAAGGAAACATGCAGCTACTTGATTCGTGGCCTATAATATGCTTGAAAGAGCAGTCAGTGCTCACACAGGGGAGTCACATTCCAGCCCACCTGGCATGAGACAACATTTTGGATGCGGCTCCTAGGACACAAGGCTCTGGGATATTCTTCTCCAGAAGACTCCTTACTGCATTTCAGTGCTTTTTCCCCCTTACATTTTTGAGTCAACAGAGGGCCCGTTGGTTTACTGCCATGTCTTTGTTATATTTACTGACGAAAAAACAGGAGGGGGGTCTTTATTAAGATCATTTGCTCAGTTGAGTCCATTAATTTGAACCTTCATATTTATTTGTTATCATAAGTTACTGAACTCTTTTATGGACTTTTTTTGGTGATGGGGGGCTGCATCTGATATTCCCCTTTGTTCAAAAGACTCAGCCCCGTCGGAGTTGGCTGCCATCCGTGTAAAAGGCATGAGGTGCGTGCACGTGCGTGCATGCACACACTCAGGCCCATGAACAAACAAACCCGCCCCATCAGCAGCATGTATCTGTTTTACGCTTGCAACTCTGCCATTTTTGGTAAAACTATACCTTCCCGAATATCTTAGCAGCCATGCTTCCTGAGTCATTCTGGGAGTTGTAGTCCATAAAACTAACATTCCCAAATCCTTCATAATAAGCAACGTGGCACTCCAGTTAACATAGGAGGAGGAGGTGATACCTTCCATGCTGAGGATAAGTAGAAATCTGTCTCTCCTGACTGGAGGCCTAGAATTAATATGGAGAAGAGTACCTTATGCACATGGGATTAGTGTAGACTAGCATTCTTTCTTGTTGCTACACTTGCAGGTTGAGGTGGGGGGAGAGGAATCCAGAAACCAATGCTAGGAAGATGCAAACTATATTTATGTCACATCCGTGAGAATGCCTTTGGGGCACTTTTAGATGTATCTTTTATCCCACAGAAACAAGAGTGTTGTGGCATCTGAAAGTCCACCAGTTTATACTTGGCATAAGCTTTTGTAGGCTGCAGCCGATCATGCCTTTGATGATGTGGGTTGCGGTCCATGAACGGGGTGCGTGTGTTGTACATGCCATCAGGTCAAAATTGTCCGATAGCGATCCTAATAGGGCTTTTAAGGTAACTTGAGATGCTAAAGTTATTAAATTCTCCCTGTGAGTTTCCAAGGCTGAGTGGGGATTTGAACTCAGGTCCCCCTGATCCCAGTTGGTCACCCTACGCACTACACCACACTTGGGAACCCCAAGAGTGTTTTATACCAAAGAAAACTCCCATTACCTTTTAAAATTCCTCAAGACCTTTGCCCTCCTTTGCCTATCGTTTCATGGGGGTAAACGCACACACACATACACACACAGGTCTTTACAAGACTGTATCACAAGTAACCACATAGGGGGGAAGCCTTTTTGAATGTTATGTTTTGAAAATGTAGAGCGCCCCCTCCCAGTGGCAGAGGGGAAAAAAACAACTATGGAAACAAAAAAAAAGGGCTGGACCGATTTGAATCCAATTTTGTTTGCGTCCTGTGGTCAGTAAAAAATCATTGAAATTCACCTGTTTCATAAGCGGAGCAAATCCCACAGGATCGAACCCTGTTGTCACAGCCAAAGTTACAGTTTGGATGTCTTCCTTCTCCACATCAGCGGGTGGAGGCTCAGATGCCTTTTTTTTTTTTTTTAAGAGAGCACATAGTGCAATACGGTGCTTTTTCACTGTTTTGACAAGTACCTTATGCGCATGGGATTAGTGTAGACTAGCATTCTTTCTTGTTTCTAGACTTGCCGGTTGAGGTGGGGGGAGAGGAATCCAGAAACCAATGCTAGGAAGATGCAAACTATATTTATGTCACGTCCGTGAGAATGCCTTTGGGGCACTTTTAGATGTATCTTTTATCCCACAGAAACAAGAGTGTTGTGGCATCTGAAAGTCCACCAGTTTATACTTGGCATAAGCTTTTGTAGGCTGCAGCCGATCATGCCTTTGATGATGTGGGTTGCGGTCCATGAACGGGGTGCGTGTGTTGTACATGCCATCAGGTCAAAATTGTCCGATAGCGATCCTAATAGGGCTTTTAAGGTAACTTGAGATGCTAAAGTTATTAAATTCTCCCTGTGAGTTTCCAAGGCTGAGTGGGGATTTGAACTCAGGTCCCCCTGATCCCAGTTGGTCACCCTACCCACTACACCACACTTGGGAACCCCAAGAGTGTTTTATACCAAAGAAAACTCCCATTATCTTTTAAAATTCCTCAAGGCCTTTGAGGAAGGAGGCTGCAGTCTGAAGAACACACCCTCAGATAAAACGTGTTAGACTTTTAAAGTGTCACAAGACTCTTGGTTAGTTTCATTTCAACACTGCAGCTACCCGGAAGACTGACATCAGTCACCACCACGCCTCATTCGTGGAGTCCAAGGGACACATCCAGGTGACACAGACAGCTCTTGTTTTCACACAGTTGCTCTTATCCTGTTTCTTCCCTCCTCCCTTCCCCAACATGAAGGAAAAGATGGAAGAGCAGGGTCCTGCTTTTTATGGGTTGTGCTAAGTGTCTTCACTCCCCCGTCCTAGACTGACTGCCACGTTTGTTGGCGTGCGAGGTGCACAATCAGTTGTATTTCCCCCCCCATGGCAAACCACTTTGGGTGGGCTCCTTTTGGACAAAGAAAGGTAGGAGGTTAATTTTTGAAATACATGAGTGAGCCTCGGTGCCAGGATCAGCTGATCGACCCCTTCCTCACCACCTTCAGCCCCTCTCCCTTCCTCCAAAGGAAGGTATCAGGTGCGTCTCTCCCGGGTTTCGAATTTATTGCCATCGGGATGCGTGGTTCTATCGCTCATTAGTGCCTTGCGATAATAACCAGCCGTGTTCAGCTTTGATTTTCAAACCAGTGGTGGAAAGTAGCTTGCTTAGGAAAATGTTATTTATGATATGCAAGATGTAAAACTCCATAATCCATCTCTTTCTCTCTCTCTTTCCCTTCCTCCCTCCTTCCCCCCTCTCCCCGTGTGTGCGTGCGTGTGTGTGTGTTCTGTTTTGGTTTTGTTTTGTTCCAGAAGGAGCTTAATTCCGTGGCTTCCGAATTGGCAGCGCGGCAGGAAGAAAGCGAGCATTCTCATAAACACTTAATTGAACTCAGCCGGGAATTTAAGAAAAATGTACCTGAGGTATAGTATATTTGCTATTATAGAATTAACTTGGTGGGGTTGGCATATTTCCCCCTCCTTGATTCAAATGGAGTCCGTGTGTGTGTGTTATTTTTGTCTTGTTTGCTACAAACTTGAGTGACAAACAAATAAAGAGGAAGGCAATTAGACACATTGAAAATTTCTGCTTATTAAGACTGCTTCTCATGGCGCCATCCCAGTTTCGGAGCCCAGGGTTTCAATCCTGAAAGGCGCTGGGTGAGGCAGGGTGGGTACGAGGCAGAGCCTTTGGTAGAGCTGGCTAGATGTCCTCTTTTAGGGGGGATGGTCTTTTGTTTCAAGGGCTGTTGGGGGACAATTGTCCTCTTAAAGGTGGCCCTATTTGATGATGGCATAAGGAGAAAGGAAACCAGAGGACTCAGCATTCACAGGTAGCAGCACCAGGCACTGAGGTTGCCGGGTCATATCCTTCCTCACTTGGACAACGTGCCTTGTAATTTTATTTAAACGATAAATTAATCCTCGTTTTGCATCTGTCTCTCTAAGTTAACATATGCAGTTTTATGCGATTTGGAGCCCTCTTTTGTCCTCCCATTTATCCGTCCTTAACTGGCCATGGTAGGGCTTGTGGCTGTCTTCGGATCTTGTCAGAAATACAGGGTTCTCTACACCCTGGAAGAAAACATCCCACTCCCCTGGAAGCCCTTTGTCTTCAAAAGTTTTTTTCCCTCTCCCCACCCCGCCCCCGTGATTTATAAAAAGCAAAACCAACCCACAAAAATTAAATAGGAGTGGGTCCTGGCAGCAGAAAGCTCACCACCCACCTGTCTAAGCAGATGGGGTGCCCACCTTGTTGTGTTTTGTTTTCGTTACTGTTCTTCCTCACTCTCTGGAGAAATAAATTTTATTTTAGTGATTTCTGACAGTGGAAGACCCGTGATTTATAAAAAGCAAAACCAACCCACAAAAATTAAATAGGAGTGGGTCCTGGCAGCAGAAAGCTCACCACCCACCTGTCTAAGCAGATGGGGCGCCACCTTGTTGTGTTTTGTTTTCGTTACTGTTCTTCCTCACCCTCTGGAGAAATAAATTTTATTTTAGTGATTTCTGACAGTGGAGGACTTCCTTCCTCCCACCCACCCCACCTCATGCCTGCGTGCAATTATGTTTCTTGCTTCCAGCCTAAATTAAAAAGCCTTGTCGGGAGAGATGGGGCAGAAGAAGAAAAAAACACTGCAACCCCATATATTATTAAATTAGCATATATGCTTATAAGAAATGTGCCCTGCATTTTATGATATACTGGTGGAGGAGGAGGAGGTAGAGATGCAGGCCCATTAGAACCCCCCCCCCAATGACTTCCCCGTTTTGATCCAAACCCACTCCTCACCGAGGAACAGTTGCAGAAAGAGTTAAATCAGGCAAGGGATGGCCCTTCCAGAGATTGACAGATGTCAGTGGAAGAGGATAGTCAAACTCAACACATCCTGGGAGTTACAGTCAAGGCCACACTGGCTTTGCTGACTTAATGGATCCGCTGATAGCTTCAGATCCATTTGCAAAGAGGGTGGCTCAGGTTTATTTTAGGGTTCACTTATAAACTGTGGGGTGGGGTAGGGCCATCCTGGTAGAAGAGGCACCCCCTCCATCTCTCACCTACAGGTAGGGTTGCCTCTTCTGGAAAAAGATCCCTGCAGCAACCTAGGGAGTGCATAGCATCAACCCATCCAAAATGTCTTTTCTGCCTGCTCTTTCTAAACGATTGTGTTTCTTGTAATCCATCAATTAGCCAAGGGGAATCTGGACAAATTCATGGAGACTGTCTTTTCTTTTAAGTAGGCAACCGTCTCCTATGAGTTGGAATCCACATTTTGAGGTCTGGATTAACCGGAGTCGAACAGCTGTAGCCCTAATCCGTCTCCCCCCCCCCTGTTTTCTTAGGAAGTTCGAGATATGGTGGCTCCTGTCTTAAAAAGCTTCCAGGCTGAGGTAAGACACAATCTGTGTCCAAGGTACTATTTTAATAAAACCATCACAACACCATCTGGAAGCGAAATGGGGGGGCGTAGAGCCCGGGATACGGGTGGGTGGGTGGATGCAACCACACAAAAGAAAAGCAACAGATTAAAAGTCCAAAGCAGGCTCTCGGTTTAAAGCGCCTGCCCACGCTGCCTGGAGATGATGGGAATTAGAGTCCAACACACACCTACGTTTGGGAATGTTGGGTTGACCCCTAAGAAGAGCCCTTCCAGGTGACACCCAAGGGCCCACCTCCAGCCCTACTCTCCTGTTTCCAACACAGAGCCAGACGTTTCCGGGAAGGTCGCAAACAGGACACGAAGCCATTTCTGCAACTTGTTTGAAAGGTGAATGATCCTTAACCAAAAAAAAAAAACAACCCTTCTAGTAATTCATCTTTCTTTTCTTTTTGCCAAAAAAAAAAAGAGGTGGGGACCAGGAGGTGGTTTGTGGGGTCCTGTGTCCTCAAAAACACAGCGGGTCGTAGGGTTGTCTCCCCGGCACACACCTCCGTACGCCGCTATTGCTTCTGCTCTCTCCCATCCTTGGTTTTATCTGTGAAGACTTTGGGGTGTGTTGGTGAAAAGTGAAATCTTATTAAGTGCAGTGATGAGTGGGAGAGATTTAAAGGCTGCCAAAAAGGGGTGGAAAGAAGAGAAGGAGAGAGAGAAAAGGAGACCCAGGTGAGCAGACCGGGGGAGAAATGTCACACCTTGGAGTGCTCCTAAAACAGATATCCTTCTTCTGAGGTGGGGAGGAGACGGTTGGTTGCCTGCACGGCCTCTCTCTACCCTGCGTAGCTGAAGGCGCCCACCGAGCGATGCCAGCGCATGGCAACAACACATTAGAGGCTGTCATCCTGCGAGCTCCGGGTTACTTTTAAATCTGTCTCTTTGGAACGACGCAAACGGCATAAGGCAAAATAGGAACGCAAACAATAACTGGATTTACACAAATGTGGGCTGATTTCCATATTTTTCATCACTTTATTTTATTACCCAGGTTTTTTAAAACTGATATGCTTATTTATTTATAGGCCTATCTGGTTTTGATTCATACCCAAATGCTCAGCGTAAACGCATAAAAGAGAGTGATCGCCATAGGAAACCTACTTGCAGTTGTTTTAAATACTGCCTGTTCTCCCGACATACCACGATGGGTCTTCTGCTAGAGGGTGACAGGTGTGCCATGGTGCAAAGGCAGGGAGCGCCTACTGCTCCAGGCAGGAGTGGAAACCCATTCCCCCATGATTTACGGCAGCGCTTGAAAAAGTTATTTTGGGAACAGGGGTTCAGATCCCAGAGGCCATGGTAACTAGATATTTCTTGGAGTTCTAGTAGAAAAAAAGTAACTTTTCAGAGCTATGATGAGTGAGTAAAGGATTTGGGGCTTGTCGGGGGCTAGGTCAGGTAGACTGCACCTAAATTTGGATGATGGATTGTGTATTGTTCGCCCTCAAGCCAACGCCTGGAGCTGAACATTTGGGCAAAACACACACCCCTCCTGAGAAAAATGATGTGTTGCCAATCTAGGGGAGCCTCTAGGAGTTGAAATTCGTTTTTTTCCCCAAAGAGGTCAACAACAAGCTTTTTGTCCTACACCTAATTGTGGGACCACATCCTGGGAGGAGGGGGTGAGGATGAGGTGGTCCAGCCTGGCAAATGAATGGTTTGTATAGGAATAGGTATACCTGTGTGTATATGTGTGTTTGTGTGTATGGGAGAGAGAGAAAGAGAGAAGGAGTGTCGGCATTAGGGCAGGAAACATGTACAGTGCCTCTTCCAGGCTTTAACAGAAATGGCATAAATTTGTAGGCGTGCAAAGCATGTGGCACAATGCTGTACTTTGGGCCCCGGAAAAGGTACCGTTCTCTTGGACGACAGCCCCAGAATTAGTCTGTAATTCTTTTTTCCAGATGTCGACCTGTCCTTTGCCAGCCATGTCTTGTCACAACAGACCGATCATGGTACGTTCTCTTCCTCCCAGCATCTGGGCCTGGATCACCTCCCAGTATTGGCCATAGGGAAAGGAATTAATTGTTTTCCTACTGTAGAGGAAGATGATATGAGAGAGAGAGAGGGAAAGAGGGAGGGAGGGAGAATCACGTCTCTCTCTCTCTGTTTCTCTCTCTCTCTCTCTCTGGAAACCCTGATTAAATAAATAAAAACCCGACTTTAATTTTCCATCACAACGAAGACAAAAGGGCTGCCTGTAACGGAAGTCGAGCGGCGACAGCTTGAAATGTCCAAAGTTTCCGAGTCTCCTTGCAGATGGAGAAAAGAGCAAAGCCAGAACCCCGCTAATTACAAAAGTTGCTTTATGAAAGATAATTCAAAGCAATAATTTAGCAAACATAATCAAGTAGCACAGATGGGGATTCTGATGAATAGTTTGCAACATGCAATTAGCAGCTCTTGCAGTTACATATCATTAACCCTCGGAGCACAAAAATTATTTTCTCATTATTAGATGAAAAGGTAAAATTAAGCTGACTAGACAGTTAAGGAACAAACTACAATTAATTACCTTCATTTATTACAGTCATTATTTCAAACTTTTCTCCCCCCCTCCTTCTTTTCCTCCTCCTCCTTCCTTTTTCTCCCATTGGGGGGATGAAAACATCTAAATTAAAAGTTTTAGTACATTAAAATTAAGGTGAAACATCCCCTGTGCCTGAACCTTTGTAGGTGAAGGTTGCAGGAGAGGGCTATTAGAAGTATGTTACCTGGGCTGTCCCCAGTTTGCTCTCCGAGGTTAAATTCAGGGGTCAGGATCCTTTTGGAGATTCTCCATGCTGTGTTTCCTAGGGAAACTGAGGCAGTTAAGACTGGGGCTCTTGAGCAAAGGACCTTGGCAGAATTCCTCTCGTTCCTCCTGTGCCAGAGATTGAACGCTTTCATAGGGTGACTTTGGACCCAGCCAAGCTAAACAAGGTTGTGTCACATCCAAAGCAGACTCCAACAATCTAAAGCCATCAGTTTCTTCTCCTTTCTGCACTTTTCCTAGTTTATTTCTACCTTGAATGATCGGCTGTAACAACCCGTGCTTCTCATTGCTTTTTGTTTCTCACGCTGTGGCCAGAGTCCTCCAGCTCTCCACATGTTCCGTGTCCTGCGAATTCTTGGTCTTCGTTCCTTCCTCTTAGTGCTGCTTTGTTCGTCGCCTTCTTGATCCAGGAAGTTCTTAGGAACAAAGAGAGAAAAGTAGGCGCATAGCGAGACCGGTAGTGGATGTGGATCGGATGAAAAAAATGCCTGTCTTAGTCCAACATTTGGGAGTCATAAATTGAAAGTAACTGAGTTCCTGTAACAAGCTTCCTCCCCCATTGTTTTTGGTAATGAGGTTGTGAGGAAGCTATATTCCAAAAGAATTATAGCAAATATGGTGATCGAGTTACTCTGTTGGTATAACAGAGGACTTTTGGAGTTGCTTTAAAAGGAGATTTCTACGCATTTTCAAGGTAAAAATCTTCCGATGACATTTGCCCATTTTGTGGCATTATGCTATCAGTCCTGAGGGCTTTGAAAAAAAAACACCAGTGAAAAGTGGAGTAAAAGTAATAAGCGATGTAGCAAATGACCCAATTAGCTTCTTTTTTTAAACATAGCAAAAATTAATGGCAGTTGGTTATTTTTAAATTGCTATAATAAGTATCAGGAACAAATCGCTTCTGAGATGTAACTTTCTGTGCTCTCATACAGCCCCCAGGCATGTGAGCACCCTCATCATTTTGGTGGAGACAAAAATCTAGGTGTGTCTTGTTAATGGTTCAGATCTCTAGAGGCTGCTGTTAAGACACTTTCTGCGGCCACCTAGGTCCCTCCTCTTTCAGCTTGGGCCAGTTAAATGGTGAGAACGGTGGCTTATAAGTCAGGGAAATTGTTATGCGTGAGGTGCGATGGCACCAACCCTCAGCAAAGAGCCCCCTTCTTCTAGATCTGTGGAGCTGAGCCAGTGCCTGAAACATTTAAAGGGCCACCTGGATCTCCGCTGGCTCCCTGATCCTCACCTGGCTACTTCCCAGGGTCAGAGATGAGTGCCCCCACCGACCCTCTGACCAGCTACCTCGGTGGTGCCCAAGCAAGATCTGAAGATAGGCCAATAGCACCCTCATGGGGATGGAGAGGGCAAAGCGGTTTCCTAACTCGGCCGGCTGGAGGCTATTATGGGTTGTCTGCCGAGCTTTTAAGAGCTGGGAAGCCCAAAAAAAGCCATTTTGGGCTACAGGTCCCAGAATCCATCAACCAGGAAGGCCAGGGATTGTGATTGAAGATTCATAGCTTGCTAGGAGCAGAAATAGACCTATTTTTGACCCATCCAAAAAAAGAGGAAAGGAAAAAAGGAAGAAACAAAAGGAGGGAGTCAGGTTTTCCATGAAAAGGCACCAATTTGGCCTTGGGTGCACACAGGGACCCATGGAAGCTGCCTATACGTAGAACAGCGCTTAGCTTTCTCGGGCTACAGAGAATTCCTTCCCTCTGCCCCGTTTGGAAGTCTCTTACGCCGCCGGGTTTCCCAGTCTTGGCTGCCTCTCTGAGATCATGACCGGACAGCTGGTCGGCGTTGCTCCTTTGACTGTGGCTGGGATTCCACCACCCCACGGAAACCCACAGCGCGCCCGTTATCCTGTGCCATGACAGGCGAAGGACTCCTTGAGAAAGTTCTAATGAGATTAACGTCCTTTGGCTTCTAATATCAGGAACTTTGCCAGCGCTTCATTGTGCCTGTCAGGAAGTATTATGACAAAATTAAGGGCCGGCAGCAATTTTCTTTCATTCAGTATCACCGTCTTGGCAAAGTAAATTATTTAAAGCTTTCCCCCTCCTCCTCCTCCCTTATTATTTTTTCCCCCTCCTCAGATAAGAGATCCTTCGCAGTAGATTTTTTTTGGTACGCTTCTCATTAGGAATAACGCTGTTGAAAGGATAATATTGATTCAATCATATTATTGTGTTTTTTAAAAAAAGGAG